AAATATTATGAAACGATTTGCTGTTGTTATTGATATAGTTTTTTTGTTTTTTTTTCCTAAGCCCTCAAGTGATAATCTTGTGACCTTTTCGTGTTTGTTGTGGAATAATGAACTATTGAAGACATTACTCATCTAATATTGTTGGAATATCACTTGTAAGTTGTCCATTCTACAAGATAAATGAGCCTAGTTATACGGCACTCTTTTTTCCCGATTTTAATATGATATCCGAGCGGGCCTTTTCTTATGACCTGTAATAACTTTCTCTTCTCAACCTGCTGTGGGCTTGGGCTTACTTTACTAGGCCTACTATGTGAGCTTGGGCTTGCGAATGACTCACAAGTGAGGAAACGTGTTCGAATATCACTTGTGAGTTGTCTTATTCTAAAAGATAAATGTGTCTAGTATATGACTCTAATGAATTACTTCTTCCATCACTATTTAATTTTGAGATGGAACTTCTGTAAGGTGTACCTAAGCTCGACCTCTTATGGTGAACTTCACCTGATGGGCCCACAACCTTTTCCCCCGATTATAATAAATATTGTAATATGATCATTGTTGCTAGTATAACACTCGTGTAATAAGTATTAACAAATAAACAAATTTATAAAATAAATAGTTAATTCATTTTAAAATTTATAATACTTTTAAAAAGTATATTATTTATTTTATCTATAAATGACAGTGTGCCATATTCAATTTGTCGAAATGAAAAGTTTTTCTTTCTTTTTTTTTAACAATATTTAGTTTTAATACCTGTGTGTTATGCAATTTACCAAGAACAGTTATATTTTGTAATTCAAATGATGTATACACACATTAATTTCATTCATGCGGTAATTGTAAGTAATATTGGCTTTGTGTCAACCGATAATCAATTTTTTGTATTTGAATTTTTTAACAAAAAAATGACCAAAATTATTTTAAGGTGAAAGAAAAATTAATTATATGTTACAAATAAGTTGAAATTTGGAAAAAATTGAGTTTTTGTCTAAGGTTGAGGGAGAGCTTTGCGCCCTTGTGGTCCTACCCGGCTCGATTCCGGATTAGTCGGTTCTCCTGTGAATCCGAAAATCGGAAGGTCCCTATACCAAAAAATAAATAAAAAATAAATAAAAAAAATAAAGCTCACGAGTATCGTGTGACGATGATCTCCTCTCAAGAGTGATTCTATTAGTAATTACTACCTCCTGTTTATTATAAATGTCGTTTTGACTTTTTTGATTCATCCATTTTGTTATGTATCTAGACATTAATAAAATGGATAAGAGGGAGTAATTGTTTATTATTAATATGTCTAGATACATAATAAAATGGATGAATCACAAAAGTCAAAACGACATTTATAATGAATAAGAGGGAGTAATTGTTTGTGTTCAAGAAGTGTCAGATCGGTTAGAATGCGGTTTTTTTTCATATCACACTTTCTGAACCGAATAATTTTCCACTTACATAAATACTCCTCAGAACTAATGCATTAAATTTATTTTAAAGACTGAAAATTAAAGAGCTTTTGAATAATATTTTTAAAGTTTATATTGCATATTATGTTCTTCGACTAGTACAATGCATGTGTTTTATACGAGTGCGTGCTAAATTTTTTTCTTGAAATTTAATGAGAAAAATTAATTGAAAATTTAAATATTTTTTATAAATATATATATATATATATATATATATATTAGTATGACACATGTTACTTGTGCGACTTACATGCGTTATATTATAATAGTTTTCTAACTTATAACATGTAATTACATTAAAAATGAATATATTAATTGAGAAATAATTTTAGTTTTTAATAAATTTTAATAAATACTTTTTTATTATTGTACAGACAAAAATATAATTTATTTATTTTATACATACAATATGGATGTCAAATCAAGGTTCATCAAAATATGATTAATTTGATACATTATACATTTAAAACTGATAAGAAATACAAAAATTATCAACTTTTGAAATACATTTACAATTGAATAGTTATAATAGAAAATTATATTAAATTACAATTAATATATATAAATAGATCATAAATTAATCAACGTATTTATGGTGATCCGAACCTAATTAGTTTTGGATTAGAATTAAATAAAAATCTATCCAAATCAAATAACAAAGCATGAAATTTTGACATCTAAGATTTATAACATACGAGCCTGATACTTAGACTCAGTACATTCGGGAATCATATACAGGGATTTATTTTTTCTTGATAGTTCCAATGTGTATAACCTTCCTCACTAAAAACATGAATTTATCCATGGCATATATATCTCTATCTCAGTTTGGATAAAGTACATGAAAATGGATAAGGTCGCGAAAAGAAAAAAAAAATAATAAATAAATAAATAAATAAATAAATAAAGTTTCATACATTGTGACATAAATAAATTAAAAGTTAGTTAGAATCAAATTCACATGTGAGTCACCGCGAATGTTTATGTATTTTTCCAGAAAATTTGAGAAAATGGGCCAACTATAAATTTATTCACGTTTTTACCTTTCTCATTTTTTTACTTTTTATTTCACTTTGGCACCTTTTTTTAAGGCTGAATTAAATGAGTTTTTTTATAGAATAAATTAATTAATGACGTATCAAATATTTTAAAGCTGAATCTACTCATTAACAAAATTCATAAATAACCAAAAAATAAAAAATAAAAATACATTCATACAATTCTTGCTAGCTTTTATATTAATTAATTTTAATTTTATTTTTTATAAAAAAACAGATTACTTATTTTGGGGCAAACGGGATGTCTTATGCGTATTACAATGAATCCACTAGTTTGTCTTTTATGAGCGTGGGTGAATCTAAAAAAAGTAATGTTTTGACGTGATATGATTAGAAAAAATAAAAAGGCATGCAACTTTACACTTTTTCTATATATGCATCATATGACTCGACTTATAGAGTCATTCATAGTTATTGATAAAGGGTGTATTGATACTTGTTTTGTAATAAATATATTTTGTCCATGTCATTTTTTGTAAGTGGATTAAATGTGGAGAGTAAAGTGGATTTTTTATTAAACAACCTTTTTTTTTTTTTTCTGTTGTTTACCTTTAGAAAAAGAAAAGGAAGAGGAATAAAAAGAATGAAAATAAAGTGGGAAATTAAAGAGAGGAAAAGTTGAAAAGAATTTATTCTAATTTTGAGATTAATTTAATTCACTATAATTTATTCTGTTGTTTCACCTAAGTCTCGATTAAATTAAATTAACAACTATTAGACTATTGAAATGTGAACTAATCCAATTTGCTAGTCTTTGCTAAACTTCGCGTGCGTGTGGTTCTGATGATCAGGCCCATTGGGCTTCGTTGGGCTTCTGAGGATTGGATTAGAACAACCCATCTCTACACTCATAACCTCACATTTCTATGCCAAATGGCTCCTTTGCTTGGAGTGATGCAAGTGTAAGCAACCGAAATTCAAGCAGAACCGTGCAATTCAATGCAGTTCAATATGGTTATTTTAGTGAGCAGAAGTTTTGGTTCGTTACGATTCGATTTTTTAAATGCAATGTGATGCAACTTAGTTATATTTTTC